CTAAAGGAACACTGATTGTCTGCATGTGTTGTGGGTACTCGCTGACATGCCATGGCTAAAGGAACACTGATTTTCTGCATGTGTTATGGGTACTCGCTTACATGCCATGGCTAAAGGAACACTGAGTGGGTTGTGGGTACTCGCTTACATGCTATGGCAAAAGGAACACTGAGTGGGTTGTGGGTACTCGCTTACATGCCATGGCTAAAGGAACACTGAGTGGGTTGTGGATACTCGCTTACATGCCATGGCTAAAGGAACACTGAGTGTGTTGTGGGTACTCGCTTACATGCCATGGCTCAAGTAACACTGAGTGGGTTGTGGGTACTCGCTTACATGCCATGGCTAAAGGAACACTGAGTGGGTTGTGGGTACTCGCTTACATGCAATTGGTAAAGGAACACCGAGTGGGTTCTGGGTACTCGCTTACATGCCATGGCTAAAGGAACACTGAGTGGGTTGTGGGTACTCGCTTACATGCCATGGCTAAAGGAACACTGAGTGGGTTGTGGGTACTCGCTTACATGCCATGGCTAAAGGAACACTGAGTGGGTTGTGGGTTCTCGCTTACATGCCATGGCTAAAGGAACACTGAGTGGGTTGTGGATACTCGCTTACATGCCATGGCTAAAGGAACACTGAGTGGGTTGTGGGTCCTCGCTTACATGCCATGGCTAAAGGAACACCGATTGTCTGCATGTGTTGTGGATACTCGCTTACATGCCATGGCTCAAGTAACACTGAGTGGGTTGTGGGTACTCGCTTACATGCCATGGCTAAAGGAACACTGAGTGGGTTGTGGGTACTCGCTTACATGCCATGGCTAAAGGAACACTGAGTGGGTTGTGGGTACTCGCTTACATGCCATAGCTAAATGAACACTGAGTGGGTTGTGGGTACTCGCTTACATGCCATGACTAAAGTAACACTAAGTGTGTTGTGGGTACTCGCTTACATGCCATGGCTAAAGGAACACTAAGTGGGTTGTGGGTACTCGCTTACATGCCATGGCTAAAGGAACACTAAGTGTGTTGTGGGTACTCGCTTACATGCCATGGCTAAAGGAACACTGAGTGGGTTGTGGGTACTCGCTTACATGCCATAGCTAAAGGAACACTAAGTGTGTTGTGGGTACCCGCTTACATGCCATGGCTAAAGCAACACTGAGTGGGTTGTGGGTACTCGCTTACATGCCATGGCTATAGGAACACTAAGTGGGTTGTGGGTACTCGCTTACATGCCATGGCTAAAGGAACACTAAGTGTGTTGTGGGTACTCGCTTACATGCCATGGCTAAAGGAACACTGAGTGGGTTGTGGGTACTCGCTTACATGCCATGGCTAAAGGAACACTGAGTGGGTTGTGGGTACTCGCTTGCATGCCATGGCTTAAGGAACACTGAGTGGGTTGTGGGTCCTCGCTTACATGCCATGGCTAAAGGAACACCGATTGTCTGCATGTGTTGTGGATACTCGCTTACATGCCATGGCTCAAGTAACACTGAGTGGGTTGTGGGTACTCGCTTACATGCCATGGCTAAAGGAACACTGAGTGGGTTGTGGGTACTCGCTTACATGCAATGGGTAAAGGAACACCGAGTGGGTTCTGGGTACTCGCTTACATGCCATGGCTAAAGGAACACTGAGTGGGTTGTGGGTACTCGCTTACATGCCATGGCTAAAGGAACACTGAGCGGGTTGTGGGTACTCGCTTAAATGCCATGGCTAAAGGAACACTTAGTGGGTTGTGGGTACTCGCTTACATGCCATGGCTAAAGGAACACTGAGTGGGTTGTGGATAGTCGCTTACATGCCATGGCTAAAGGAACACTGAGTGGGTTGTGGGTACTCGCTTACATGCCATGGCTAAAGAAACACTGAGTGTGTTGTGGATACTCGCTTACACGCCATGGCTAAAGGAACACTGAGTGTGTTGTGGGTACTCGCTTACATGCCATGGCTAAAGGAACACTGAGTGGGTTGTGGGTACTCGCTTACATGCCATAGCTAAAGGAACACTAAGTGTGTTGTGGGTACCCGCTTACATGCCATGGCTAAAGCAACACTGAGTGGGTTGTGGGTACTCGCTTACATGCCATGGCTATAGGAACACTAAGTGGGTTGTGGGTACTCGCTTACATGCCATGGCTAAAGGAACACTAAGTGTGTTGTGGGTACTCGCTTACATGCCATGGCTAAAGGAACACTGAGTGGGTTGTGGGTACTCGCTTACATGCCATGGCTAAAGGAACACTGAGTGGGTTGTGGGTACTCGCTTGCATGCCATGGCTTAAGGAACACTGAGTGGGTTGTGGGTCCTCGCTTACATGCCATGGCTAAAGGAACACCGATTGTCTGCATGTGTTGTGGATACTCGCTTACATGCCATGGCTCAAGTAACACTGAGTGGGTTGTGGGTACTCGCTTACATGCCATGGCTAAAGGAACACTGAGTGGGTTGTGGGTACTCGCTTACATGCAATGGGTAAAGGAACACCGAGTGGGTTCTGGGTACTCGCTTACATGCCATGGCTAAAGGAACACTGAGTGGGTTGTGGGTACTCGCTTACATGCCATGGCTAAAGGAACACTGAGCGGGTTGTGGGTACTCGCTTAAATGCCATGGCTAAAGGAACACTTAGTGGGTTGTGGGTACTCGCTTACATGCCATGGCTAAAGGAACACTGAGTGGGTTGTGGATAGTCGCTTACATGCCATGGCTAAAGGAACACTGAGTGGGTTGTGGGTACTCGCTTACATGCCATGGCTAAAGAAACACTGAGTGTGTTGTGGATACTCGCTTACACGCCATGGCTAAAGGAACACTGAGTGTGTTGTGGGTACTCGCTTACATGCCATGGCTAAAGGAACACTGAGTGGGTTGTGGGTACTCGCTTACATGCCATGGCTAAAGGAACACTGAGTGGGTTGTGGGTACTCGCTTACATGCCATGGCTAAAGGAACACCTATTGTCTGCATGTGTTGTGGGTACTCGCTTACATGCCATGGCTAAAGGAACACTGAGTGGGTTGTGGGTACTCGCTTACATGCCATGGCTAAAGGAACACTGAGTGGGTTGTGGGTACTCGCTTACATGCCATGGCTAAAGGAACACTGAGTGGGTTGTGGGTACTCGCTTACATGCCATGGCTAAAGGAACACTAAGTGGGTTGTGGGTACTCGCTTTCATGCCATGGCTAAAGGAACACTGAGTGGGTTGTGGGTACTCGCTTACATGCCATGGCTAAAGGAACACTGAGTGGGTTGTGGGTACTCGCTTACATGACATGGCTAAAGGAACACTGAGTGGGTTGTGGGTACTCGCTTACATGCCATGGCTAAAGGAACACTGAGTGGGTTGTGGGTACTCGCTTACATGCCATGGCTAAAGTAACACTAAGTGTGTTGTGGGTACCCGCTTACATGCAATGGCTAAAGGAACACCGAGTGGGTTGTGGGTACTCGCTTACATGCCATGGCTAAAGGAACACTGAGTGGGTTGTGGGTACTCGCTTACATGCCATGGCTAAAGGAACACTGAGTGTGTTGTGGGTACTCGCTTACATGCCATGGCTAAAGGAACACTGAGTGGGTTGTGGGTACTCGCTTACATGCCATGGCTAAAGGAACACTGAGTGTGTTGTGGATACTCGCTTACATGCCATGGCTAAAGGAACACTGATTGTCTGCATGTGTTGTGGGTACTCGCTTACATGCCATGGCAAAAGGAACAATGATTGTCTGCATGTGTTGTGGATACTCGCTTTCATGCCATGGCTAAAGGAACACGGATTTGGTTGTGGGTAAACGCTTACATGCCATGGCTAAAGGAACACTGAGTGGGTTGTCGGTACTCGCTTACATGTGATGGCTAAAGGAACACTGAGTGGGTTGTGGGTACCCGCTTACATGCCATGGCTAAAGGAACAGTGAGTGGGTTGTGGGTACTCGCTTACATGCCACGGCTAAAGGAACACTGAGTGTGTTGTGGATACTCGCTTACATGCCATGGCTAAAGGAACACTGATTGTCTGCATGTGTTGTGGGTACTCGCTTACATGCCATGACAAAAGGAACACTGATTGTCTGCATGTGTTGTGGATACTCGCTTACATGCCATGGCTAAAGGAACACGGATTTGGTTGTGGGTAAACGCTTACATGCCATGGCTAAAGGAACACTGAGTGGGTTGTCGGTACTCGCTTACATGCCATGGCTAAAGGAACACTGAGTGGGTTGTGGGTACTCGCTTACACGCCATGACTAAAGGAACACTGAGTGGGTTGTGGGTACTCGCTTACATGCCATGGCTCAAGTAACACTGATTGTCTGCATGTGTTGTGTTTACTCGTTTACATCCCATGGACATCTTCCCGAGGCAAGAGAATTAATTGACTATAAAAGTCTAGTTTCCACCCTTGCCGAACTAGGCTGGTATTTTGGAGTTACGTATTGTCTGGACTAACGAGTCTATGCATAGTCCAATCAAAATCGTGCACCGAAATCCGGTTCGTAAACTGTCGTGCAATTCGTTGTCAGCAGATATTTTCCAAATCCTTTCATGTTTTTAATCAAGGTGCTCACGTGAGTTGATGCATTTCGCGATGTAAGATACACATTGTATCACAATATAGATCTTGATTATCGATCAGATCGTCCTGAATGGGCGCCACCATTTTGTGTGAAGCAAACGCAAGTGACATGAGAGGTGGAATCTGATTGGTCCAGAGGCTTGGAAGGGACGTAATTGGTAATAGCCACTGGTGGCGCAACGATCGAGCCCAGTAATTCCAAGATAGTTCGGCAAGGGTGGAAACTTGACTTTTAAAGTCAGTTAACTCCCTTGCCTCGGAAAGCTGGCCATGGCTAAAGTAACAATGATTGTCTGCTTGTGTCGTGGGCTCTCGCTTACATGGCTAAAGGAACACTGCGTCCTGCGTACTAGCGTGCCATGTCACGGCAAAAGGAACAGTGATAATTATAGCACAGGTGCTACTCACCCGACGGCTGACAGCAACATCTTAAGAAGATCAGTTACACTCTTGAGCACCTTCTCAGACTCCTCGGTGGTGAGGTTGAGGTTGCAGATGATGTCTTCAAGACGCTTCAGGAAACGTTTGTACATCTTGGGGTCAACGATGTCCTGAACAACGGATGATTACATGCTTTAATCTCTCTCTCTCTCTCTCTCTCTCTCTCTCTCTCTCTCTCTCTCTCTCTCTCTCTCTCTTTTCTCTCTCTCTTCTATCTCTCTCTCTTTCATCCAACCTCTTCTATTCTCTCTCTCTCGCTCTCTCTCTCTCTCTCTCTCTCTCTCTCTCTCTCTCTCTCTCTCTCTCTCTCTCTTCCATCCAACATCTTCTATTCTCTCTTCTCTGACTCTCTCCTCTCCCTCTATCCTCCATCCAACCTCTCTTTAATTATCTTTTATTCTCTCTTCTCTCTCCCTCTCTCTCTCTCTCTTCTATCTCTCTATCGCTCGCTCTCTCTCACACTCACACGTTCTCACCTTGAAGATGTTCCTGTCGTATATATACCACAGACTATGTGGAATGCGGTGGTGGATTTCCTGGACTTCCTTTGAACGAGTCAGGAACGTTAACTCATGGTAAATGTACAATTCTATAAACTCTGTCTGCGCTTCCGTGAAAGCTTCCTCTCTGCAATTAAGAAATTCCAAATTCTAAATTCCAAGGGAGTTGGAAGGTGATGATGATGTGGCACCATTTATTGAAATTAAAACGTCATGAGATATCACCATAAAGCTTTCAACCGAGCACTCTTTAGTTTTCAGTCTCTTACTATGATAATGTGAACCTGCGAAGTGTGAGTATATTTGAAACTGTCGCAAAATATATCCGCGTGTGCTAAATTTGTACATGTGAGAGTAGGATCAAAACATTTACAATCTAGTACTCACCTGAAGCAGTCTCTGTCAACGATGTAATCGATGGCATTACCAAATGTGATGTCGAACCTCTCTCTGTCAGGACCAGGCTCCCGGCTCCTGTACTCCCTCATCAGAAACCGTACGTGACTCTTCAGCTTGTCTCCTGTGAGGTCCTGAAAAGCATTTTTTTATAATACTCGTGTATGTTGTAAAGGGAAAACCCACACCCAACCACATTCAAAATGTGATGTTCATAATCCCCGGCTTCGTCGTGTGCAACGGCGCGTGTTACGCAGATACGTCAGTCAGTCAGAATGGCAGTCATGACAGTTATCGTGTGACTGTTTTCACCTTCTAAACACATACGTCAGTCAACATGGCAGTCATCGTGTGACTGTTTTCACCTTCCCAACACATACGTCAGTCGGCATGGCAGTCATCGTGTGACTGTTTTCACCTTCTAAACACATACGTCAGTCAACATGGCAGTCATCGCGTGACTGTTTTCACCTTCTTAACACATACGTCAGTCAACATGGCAGTCATCGTGTGACTGTTTTCACCTTCTAAACACATACGTCAGTCGGCATGGCAGTCATCGTGTGTCTGTTTTCATCTTCTAAACACATACGTCAGTCAACATGGCAGTCATCGTGTGACTGTTTTCACCTTCTAAACACATACGTCAGTCAACATGGCAGTCATCGTGTGACTGTTTTAACCTTCTAAACACATACGTCAGTCAACATGGCAGTCATCGCGTGACTGTTTTCACCTTCTAAACACATACGTCAGTCAACATGGCAGTCATCGTGTGACTGTTTTAACCTTCTAAACACATACGTCAGTCAACATGGCAGTCATCGTGTGACTGTTTTCACCTTCTAAACACATACGTCAGTCAACATGGCAGTCATCGTGTGACTGTTTTAACCTTCTAAACACATACGTCAGTCAACATGGCAGTCATCGTGTGACTGTTTTTACCTTCTAAACACATACGTCAGTCAACATGGCAGTCATCGTGTGACTGTTTTTACCTTCTGAACACATACGTCAGTCAACATGGCAGTCATCGTGTGACTGTTTTCACCTTCTAAACACATACGTCAGTCAGCATGGCAGTCATCGTGTGACTGTTTTCACCTTCTAAACACATACGTCAATCAACATGGCAGTCATCGTGTGACTGTTTTCACCTTCTTAACACATACGTCAGTCAGCATGGCAGTCATCGCGTGACTGTTTTCACCTTCTAAACACATACGTCAATCAACATGGCAGTCATCACATATCTGTTTTCTTCTGAACACATACTATACATTTAGCATTTACTGACACTAAAATCAAGTTTTATCCAAAACTGTGATGATAATGATGGATGAAAACTATTCATTTTTTTATTTAAGGTTGGCGGTTTACAAACGTATGTATTATACTCCACTGCAGAAAGACCAGGGAGTGTGTTGAAGCCCTTTACAGATGTAAAACCATGTACATTGGGAAATGTTGCACCTATTGTATCAATGTAGTGATGACCAAAACAATATTAACCACTAACTCATTTTGATGAAAACGAGGCACACGTATGAAACTATTTTCGAAAAGTATTTTTTGGAATGCCAATGCCTTCCGGTCATAAAGATTTGAGATGTTATGTGATTTGTGAGGATATCTCTCACCGTAGAGATACAACGTGTCGTACGTACGTGATAACGTGTAGTACGTACGTACTTTATTCTAACCCGGATCTTCACGGGCATTGGTGAGGAAAGTCTCATAATACCCCTCACTATACAGATGCAACGTGCACTTACATGATAATACTCTTTAAACCCAAATCCACTGTTGCCAAGCATCACGCTCCACAACTGCATGTGTGTCGTCCCCGGACCCTGCTGGATCAGTTCGTGGAGGAAGTCGAAGCAAAAGTCATGGATGCGGGACAAGGATTTCATCTTCCCATTTTCCATCAAATCCCTGAAAAATAACTCTTTGGTGTCGAAACGTAGGAAAGATGTATGCATGTTTTTTATATGATAAAAGACATGGAATTCCAGGAAAATGTTCAATACTCACTCTGACCAAGTCATCAGACTTTCCAGCACATCTTTAGCGAAATAATACTGATCAGAACTCTCTCCGGGGAGGTCGGGCCGACACACCCCCTTCCTCAGCAACCTGAACGCCCCAAGGAGATCCTCCTCGTTCACCACCGCCTCGTACTTGTCGGAGTCGTTCCTCTGCTCATCGCTGAATTCCTCTCGTTGGTCATGGCCCGCCGTCATGAAGTTGAACCTTCGTACCAGGTGCTCCATCGTCACTGTAGATGTATTGAGTGTGTGAGTGAGTCAACGTTATATATAACATGTCTTGTCTGAAAAACACAGAGCGTAGTCACTGTACATACCATTCAAATCAGTCGACCACTAACAACATTATCTTCGAGGGGCTGTGGGGGTGGTTGGTTGGTGGTAGGGGTGTGGGGTAGGTTGGTTGGTGGTAGGGGTGTGGGGTAGATTGGTTGGTGGTAGGGGTGTGGGGTAGGTTGGTTGGTGGTAGGGGTGTGGGGTAGGTTGGTTGGTGGTAGGGGTGTGGGGTAGGTTGGTTGGTGGTGGGTGTGTGGGGGTGTTTGGTTGGTGGTAGGGGTGTGGGGTGGCTGGTTGGTAGGGGTGTGGGGGTGGCTGGTTGGTAGGGGTGTCGGGGTGGTTGGTTGGTGGGGGTGTGGGGTAGGTTGGTTGGTGGTAGGGCTGTGGGGTAGGTTGGTTGGTGGTAGGGGTGTGGGGTAGGTTGGTTGGTGGTTGGGGTGTGGGCGTGGTTGGTTGGTGGTAGGGTTGTGGGGTAGGTTGGTTGGTGGTAGGGGTGTGGGGTAGGTTGGTTGGTGGTTGGGGTGTGGGGGTGTTTGGTTGGTGGTAGGGGTGTGGGGTGGCTGGTTGGTGGGGGTGTGGGGGTGGTTGGTTGGTGGTAGGGGTGTGGGGTGGCTGGTTGGTAGGGGTGTGGGGTGGCTGGTTGGTAGGGGTGTGGGGTGGCTGGTTGGTAGGGGTGTGGGGTGACTGGTTGGTGGGGGTGTGGGGGTGGCTGGTTGGTAGGGGTGTGGGGTGGCTGGTTGGTAGGGGTGTGGGGTGGCTGGTTGGTGGGGGTGTGGGGGGGTGTGGTTGGTGGTGGGTGTGTGGGGGTGGTAGGTAGGTCGTAGGTGGTGAGTAATGGTTTGTGAGTGGTGGAAGATAGGTAGAAGTTGAGTTGGAGTGAGTTGTGTTTGTGACGGGAATATGGAATAGCCATTGAGTGAGTATACTCAACTGTAGAACTAGTTCTCTCTCTAGAGGAATGTTCATAATGTATTATTGCAACAGCCGCCTTGTGAATGTCTCCAAAGACCAGATGTACAGACTCCAGAAGCGCCAGAATTCAAGAGTTGTTTGCAGAACAGCTAAAAATCAACTACATCACTCCTACCACGGTTCGCACTGAGTACTAGAGATCATTCTGAGTGCATACACGTTTCAAAAACAAATATCTTACTGAACTCTTACCACTCTACTCTCCTCAGTGAACCCTCCGATCTCAACAACAGAAACTATTTTCTATTCAGAAAATCAGAACATCCACGTTTGACGAAAGAACCGTCTTCTATTCCGCAGCGATTCTATGGAACTCTCTTCTAGATAATTTCTTCTGCCATGGCCGCTTCTATATTTTCTCTGCGTTTCGCTCTGACCCATGGGTAGCTAATGATATTTATCTGTGAACTGTAATACAAAGGTCCTCCGTATTGCGTTTATATTATGTAATGACCTGTTGCCACAACACAACATAACATACTCTATATATATCAAGGGTCGATATCACAAACATGGCATGAAAGTACACTGGTTTCTAGACGTACATCCTGTAAGAGTATGAGTAAACAAATGCCTTTGTCATATTTTAGGAATCCTCAAAGAAGAAATCGATTGCAATAGACTATAACCGGCTACCGTCGTCTCTAGGAATTTAGCGACACAACATGTGACCATGTTTACTATAAAACGTGTTTTCTTTACAGGCCGTGTGGTTTCTTTACAGACAGGCGACGTATACAATAAAGAATTGAAAGGACTGACGTCGCATGGCAGAGGTACTGCTGTAGAAGCGTCAGGCAATAAATATTTACTTTTTCAAGCATATTGTGTGAATGGCGGGTGCTATCGGTAGAGCAAGACATGCTTACCTTTTTCGCGAACACCTGATTTTCAGGGGTCCATACATATAATTTCCACAGATATTTGGGATCTGTTTCGGCAGATATATGTTATATTTGACGTGTTTTATATGATCTAGCACCTTTGACAGTGCCGTACCTGTGGTAGTTTGCGTTCGAACCCTGTCCTCGCAGTGATTCATGCAGTGATTCATGGTTATGTCGATGTCATACCACGCATCACACTCCAACCTCTGATTGGTTCATGAATCATGAAAACAATTAATTGCCCAATAACTTGAGATTAAATACTAATCGCCTGATCAGATGATACTAGAAAAGACAAGATGTACTCGTTTAGCGTGTTTATCTAACCAACAAACGTGTTAACGTACATAATTTGAAAGTTCTGACGATTCAAATATGTGGTTAAACTCTATCATCACTTCGTTGCCAGAGAAAGTGACGTATCATAAAAAATAAAAGGACATTTAACAAATTTAACAGTGTGAGAATTTGCGTTGTTTTTCACTATAAAATGCGATTGGCAGTAAAATAAAAACGACAAAACTCTTTCCTTATCCATGAGAACAAAAAACAGCGTCGACTGTACGACAATATTATAAGCAAGCGTTTATGAATCACTATCAAATAGTGATGATTCCAGGTTTTCGCGAAAAGTGAGCGTATCCTGCTCCATCGGGGGCATCGTCACAAACACATGCAAAGGCAAGTCAAGTGTTCACTTGAAAGTCAAAATAAGGAATTGCATCGGACATCATCAAATTTGAAAATGTCCTCTACTCTGAAACATTTTGAAAACTCTACTGAAGCCTTGACTGTTTTAATATTGATCAACCAATTTCTGAGAAAGAGTCGTATGACGCTCTTTGGGATCGTGGAAGACGGAGCATGCTCGAGTGTATCTTTAAAGTTGTGCAATGAACACCCCAAGGGCTGGAAATCGACATAAGGGGAAAGTTGACGATTGGAAAGTTGAAGTCATACAGTGGAGAGTGGTTTGTCACTCTGAATCTTTATGCGTAGATCCAAATATGAAACAGATGAAGCGGTCTCACTGGTCTCCTTTATTTCTAGTTCAGGTGGGTAAATCGGTGGAAGGGAATTGGCTATTTGAAGGTTATTGAATGGTATCCGACCATCGATATACCTGAAGCTTAGGTTCAGCTTCTTGGCCAAATCGCCTTGTTTTGACTTTGGCAATCCGAGCAGAAATTCTGATTCATATGCAAAAAGAAACGGATCAAAATTAAAAGTAGCGCAATTGGTGCCCATGCAGATACCAACTTCAAACACGACGCAAAAAGTCGTTATTTATTTATTTGAGCAGTCTTTATTTGAAAGAGTATAAATATACTCGGAAAATAGAATAAGGATTCGCTATTGACATTGTGAAGAGACTAAAGTTGTTTGAAGAGGCGGTCCTTTTGTTTATGTTGTGTTATCAATATATACATATTGGGGCGTGTTATTACGCATAGTCTGACCGTGACACCGCGACAAGTAAAGTGAAATTGGCTCCTTCGTGGGGTGGAAATACAGCTCTTCTGAACGTTAGAACAACATATTCAGGAGGTTCCCTCATATTAAGCCGTTTGGTGACTCGAGTCCACCCCTCACTGTGTAGTAATGTAATTTCTCTACGCATTGTGTAGCAGCTGAAAATCTGTAAAATGCATGAAAACTCTTTCTTCACTTTTATTCTAAAACTTTTGACTTAGAAATATGGTTTGTTTCACACATGCCTTTTCTCTTTATGTTTCTTTAACATTAATGATGAAGGGGCGTTGGGGTAGCCTAATGGTTATACTGTTCGCTCGTCACGCTTACGACCCTAGTTCGATTCCCCACATGGATCAAAATGCGGCGTAAAACAATACCCAGTCACTGATGATGAACACCGTCATATGACGTACGTCACCATGCCCAACTATGTAAATACCAACAAAACAAGGGAGTCTTTGTAAGTATCCCTGGTAAAACATGCCTTATCCATGTTATCAGTCAACTCTGAAGTGTGTCCGATGTCCTTAATACAATAAAGCGTGCCGGCATGGAATACTTTGTCTGCAGGCTGTATATAACGGTTGCAATGTTTGTTCACGCGACTGTTGCTACTGGCATTGTTCTTAGTGTATTACTTCCAGATGCATCAATAACCCAATTCCTTCGACACACAAAATGCCAATTTTATCCGAAACTCATATAAATATATTGAATTAGGGTGTTGGAAATGAAAATATAAACATTGACAAGAGACAAAACACGAATCAAAATACAAATGATTGATTATAGTATGGACGGTACTGTTATGAAAATAACAGGCCGCTTGGCGTGTTGTTCGCTTGTTCTGCACAGAGTTACTCCCCTTTCCTACTCCCCTTCCTATATCTATCTGTGCTGCAATCATTGCTTTTTTAAATAGACCCATCTGATTAGTCTGAATGATAGTGAGTGAGTATGGTTTTACGCCGCTTTTAGCAATATTCCAGCAATATCACGGCGGGGGCCACCAGAAATGGGCTTCACACATTGTACCCATGTCGGGAATCGACTCGGGTCTTCGGCGTGACGAGCGAACGCTTTAACCACTGGGCTACCCGACCGCCCAAGATAAATAAGGGTAAGCCCTCCTTATTTTAGATTTTATATCCAAGTCAGAAATATGAACAACAAGTTTTGCGAAGTGACATAGCTGCACAGCTTGTTCAGGGTGGCTGACAGTCATGTACATTACAATGAGGAGTAGCGTCTAATAATTAATGGCAGTTAAGTTATTCGAGAGACATACAAGTCATGATATTTAGACAATGGTTGTCTTGAATCTGTCGCTAAGTCAGATGTATCGTAATTCTATCCTTAAAATCGGCTAGTCTAGAGAAGTGGACAGGGCAGTCTTTTATGTTCGTATTATCTATTTAATCTAGGAATTATGATTTCAACTAATCATCATTTTCTTAGATAATCGTATGTCTACCAACAGGAGAAAAAGTGCTGCTCTTCAATTTTTATTGAAATGTATTTCGGTGACATTGTTTTCAGTGAATATGCAGACCTGTAATTATAATGTTTTCTCACAATTTTTACTGTAACTTCATGTGTGACCCGTTCAGTGTGACCCATTATCAGTTGTGAGTCTCTATTGCTGTGTGTGTAGGCCACGTTTCCCTACGTTACAGACAAGTTATGCTGTGCTTAGAAGGAAGGTTGAACAAATACATATAATTATGCTTCACCTATGCTTGTCTAACGGTAATTAATATATATAGGCAACATTTAACATCAAGTTGTGATGGATAACACACAGAAAGTATCATTGTATGAAAAAGACAAAATTATTTAAATGCCAGTAAAGACAAGATATTTATGGATAACAACCCTTTATTCTATTATGATGCGAAATTTTGGTACAGGTCCTAATACCGTTGATAACGGTAAAATATCACGTCTTTACTGTTATTTACCAACTTCTAAAGAAGACAGTCAAACAGTTAGATGTAAATGTCTATGTCCATATTTACCTATGACTTCAAGTTACGCTTGTCGAGTCAAGTCGTTGTAACCGCTAATCCAAAACAGCACACAATAACCTCCAATCAGTAGTGTGTTCAATATCCAGATAAAGAGTATATTAACACCATACTGTACGCCGCACAAGCTCCGTACGGATACGGATATACAACCGTCGTTTAGTGTTAATGCTCAGCGGGGACCGCTACACAGGTCGGTGTGTCACAAACACCAAGCCCTCGTCACTGTCGGCGGAATGACAAGCCTCGAGATAGCTGTCTCTACCGGACTGCAGTCATTCAGTCAGCAAATGTTTGCTACCATGGCAACATGTAAACAAATAAGCAAATTGACAATGCAGTACTACTTCATAATACAACGAGGCCGCTAGTATCTCTTTTATGTTCTTCTCCCATGGACCCGTTGCTGAATTACTGGCGCATATAAATACGTATTCAAGAGAATTGCGAAATGTATTGAACGGAATAGAACACACAACATATTCATGTAGTGCAACAATGCTCATGGCAAGAGGAGGTAAATCTTCCTGCAATTATTCTCAAAGCTATAGTTTACCACACCTCGGAGGGTCGGTTCAAAATCCCATCTCTAAACTCATTGATTAACGCAGAAAGCGGGAAAATCAGCGTACTTCACAAACTAGGGTAAAGGTTGCGTGCGTATTTCATAACCTGCTATTTTTAGAATTGTCGTCGAAGTTGAGTTACATTGACGAAGTCAACAGTTATTCTTAAAACTATCAATACAGCCGAATACGCGGTTGTAAATAGTTTTCTTCTCTTCTGCAATCATTTGTTATAATTTTCAGTGTGTTGTAGATGTAGTTTATAAGGGACAATATATAAAAAAATAATTCAATCGGACCCCACCCTATTTCTATTAGCGGTATGCAGTTTTTACATAACTACGCAGTTACTTCCCTTCGGACATGTTTCACCAAGCTCCTTCCCAGCGCGTGACACCTTCGTTACACTCCCGATAACATAGTATAGAGAGCTCCGGGAACGTACTATCGCTGTGAGGAGCTTGATGTTTCACAAACACAACAGTATTTGTTTTTAACGGTCGAGTCAGTATACGTCCCTTTCCCAGACCAGGCCTCAGAGCTACGTTTATCGAGAGGTATGCCTGTTATACTCGCGCGTGTAGTTCAACTATACTGTATTTAAGCTTCCGCACGACAATACGAAATGCGCGGCTATCTATAGACAAATCCCAGTCAAATTATAACAATTCCATACATTTTTGTCTGAATAAATATTATGAACGCAGTATTCTTTTATATATAATATGTATATATACTTACTCGATCAAGCTCACTCAATTTTAACACATTTAAAGCCATTATTTCTTTTATCTGTACTGTTAGTGAGGTGACGATTGAGATCATCTGTGATTTGATTCAGTCTCTTTAGACATCGTGGTAATGTATCACACTACACTAAACTAATAAATACATGCATGTTTGTAAAATCCGTTTGTCTAGGTACTAGAACGGACATATACATACATATTCATTATACACATTCTCGCAATCTCACAAATATAGCTGACAAACGATAGCCGAACTTTCTTTTCAGAACACAGGCCACTTTAATTTACTCTGATCCCTTATTTTTTGCTATCAAGTCATCAGAGAGGTAAACAGATATGTTTAAACTGGTTAGCTCACTTTTTTTATACAATATTTTCTTTTGACAATCGGATTTAAATAATTTCTATCAAAGGGGAATCTCGACTTAACATAAGCTTTACCACTATATCCTATATCGTCGAATTCACAGATAAAAAATATGGAAAAATACATGCTTTGGCAAATTCGAATCCAGTGCCATTTATGCTGACTCACTTTAATCTAGTCAACGTTCTTCAGAATGTATTCTTTGTAGCCACCCTACACATAGGTTATGAAATAGAGCTTTGCGTATTTTCGTTATTTTATAAACAACTACAGACAACTACAGACTCTTCATATTGCCTTGTATATAGCGTGTGCGTAAATCATCGCCGCTACCCCTACAACCAGTTTAATACAATTATTTTTTGTATACTCAAGCCACTGACTGGTCACTCTACACATTACTATTATATAAAAGAAACATCCTTGTGTATTTTCCCCATCAATTAAACGAGAGGCGTACGTTGGTCTGGGAAAGTGACAACTACAGAGTCTTCATATTGCCTTTTTTAGATATGTAAAAATCCTCATGGCTACCCCTACAATGGGTATAATACAGTGCTTTTTTATTCGGTCCACTGAAACGGCACTCTTACACATTATTATGAAAAAAGAGCATTGCGTATGTTTCATATTATTTTATACGGGGCGCGAACATTGGTCTGGGAAAGGAACAACTGCACACTGTTCCTATTGCCTTGCATTGGCTGTGGGAAAATCATCGCCACAATACCCCCATAACTAGTATTATACAATTATTATTTGTACGGGGGACGGGCATTGGTCTGGGAAACTGGGACAACTTGTTGCACGAATGGCCTTGTATATACATAACAGGATTCTCTACTCCAGTATAACAATATCTACTCTACTGTATAAACATTGCTTCCGACTTGTATATACTTGTCAACCAGGCTCTGTATATCACTTTGATAACGGCTTTAGAACCTACACCGAAAAGTCGCTCTTAATTGTAATAAATAAGTTGTTCATCCATAAATTCTTATCCTTACTTAACATGTGATTCTCAATAAACCCTCAGTAAAGTCAAGGTACCCCGTACAGCATCCTGAGCGAAGAACCGAACACAGTGATCAAATAATTATATTGGTCTGGGAAAGGGACAACTACAGACTGTTCATGTTGCCTGGTGTGGGAACAATAACCCCACTACCCCACAACTATTATAATACAAATATGTTTTTTATATTTACGCCACTGACATGTCACACTGCACATTATCATATAAAGGAAACATCCTTGTGTAGCGTGTGTGTAAATAATCGTCGCTACCTCCACAACTGTCGTAATGTATATATATATATATATATATATATATTTATATGTATGACCCCTACTGGTCACTCTACACATTATTAGTTGAAAGAAACATCCCTGTGTGTTTTACATTATCCATTTAGCGGGAGACGAACAGTGGTCGCGGAAAGGGACAAGTACAGACTTTTCATATTGCTTGTGTATAGAGTGTATGTAAATAATCGTCGCTACCTCCACAACTGTTGTAATATATTTATTATTCGCACTATGTATGACCCCTACTGGCCACACTACACAGTATTAGATAAAAGAAACATCCCTGTGTGTTTTCCATTATCCATTTAGCGGGAGACGAACAATGGTCGCGGAAAGGGACAGCTACAGACTTTTCCTATCACTTGTACATAGCGTGTGTGTAAATAATCGTCGCTGCCTCCACAACTGTTGTAATATATCTATTATCTTTACTATGTATGACTCCTACTGGCCACACTACACATCATTAGATAAAAGAAACATTTCAGTGTGTTTTCCATTATCCATTTAGCGGGAGACGAACAGTGGTCGCGGAAAGGGACAGCTACAGACTTTTCCTATTGCTTGTATATAGCGTGTGGGTAAATAATCGTCGCTGCCTCCACAACTGTTGTAATATATTTATTATTCACACTATGTATGACCCCTACTGGCCACACTACACATTATTAGATAAAAGAAACATCCCTGTGTATTTTCAATTATCCATTTAACGGGAGACGAACAGTGGTCGCGGAAAGGGACAGCTACAGACTTTTCATATTGCTTGTGTATAGAGTGTGTGTGTAAATAATCGTCGCTGCCTCCACAGCTGTTGTAATATATCTATTATCTTTACTATGTATGACTCCTACTGGCCACACTTCCCATTATTAGATAAAAGAAACATTTCAGTGTGTTTTCCATTATCCATTTAGCGGGAGACGAATAGTGGTCGCGGAAAGGGACAGCTACAGACTTTTCATATTGCTTGTGTATAGAGTGTGTGTGTAAATAATCGTCGCTGCCTCCACAGCTGTAGTAATATATCTATTATCTTTACTATGTATGACTCCTACTGGCCACACTTCCCATTATTAGATAAAAGAAACATCCCTGTGTGTTTTCCATTATCCATTTAGCGGGAGACGAATAGTGGTCGCGGAAAGGGACAGCTACAGACTTTTCATATTGCTTGTTTATAGAGTGTGTGTGTAAATAATCGTCGCTGCCTCCACAGCTGTTGTAATATATCTATTATCTTTACTATGTATGATTCCTACTGGCCACACTTCCCATTATTAGATAAAAGAAACATCCCTGTGTGTTTTCCATTATCCATTTAGCGGGAGACGAATAGTGGTCGCGGAAAGGGACAGCTACAGACTTTTCATATTGCTTGTGTATAGAGTGTGTGTGTAAATAATCGTCGCTGCCTCAACAACTGTTGTAATATATCTATTATTTTTACTATGTATGACTCCTACTGGCCACACTACACATTATGAGATAAAAAAACCCATCCCTTTGTGTTTTCCAATATCAATTAAACAGGAGACGAACACTGGTCGCGGAAAGGGACAAGTACAGACTTTTCATATTGCTTGTGTATAGAGTGTATGTAAATAATCGTCGCTACCTGCACAACTGTTGTAATATATTTATTATTCGCACTATGTATGACCCCTACTGGCCACACTACACAGTATTAGATAAAAGAAACATCCCTATGTGTTTTCCATTATCCATTTAGCGGGAGACGAACAGTGGTCGCGGAAAGGGACAGCTGCAGACTTTTCCTATCACTTGTACATAGCGTGTGTGTAAATAATCGTCGCTGCCTCCACAACTGTTGTAATATATCTATTATCTTTACTTTCCATCACTCCTACTGGCCACACTACACATTATTAGATAAAAGAAACATTTCAGTGTGTTTTCCATTATCCATTTAGCGGGAGACGAACAATGGTCGCGGAAAGGGACAGCTACAGACTTTTCCTATTGCTTGTATATAGCGTGTGGGTAAATAATCGTCGGTACCTCCACAACTGTTGCAATATATTTATTATTCGCACTATGTATGACCCCTACTGGCCACACTACACATTATTAGATAAAAGAAACACCCCTGTGTGTTTTCCATTATCCATTTAGCGGGAGACGAACAGTGGTCGCGGAAAGGGACAGCTACAGACTTTTCATATTGCTTGTGTATAGAGTGTATGTAAATAATCGTCGCTGCCTCCACAGCTGTTGTAATATATCTATTATCTTTACTATGTATGACCCCTACTGGCCACACTACACAGTATTAGATAAAAGAAACATCCCTGTGTGTTTTCCATTATCCATTTAGCGGGAGACGAACAGTGGTCGCGGAAAGGGACATCTGCAGACTTTTCCTATCATGCACTTGTACATAGCGGGTGTGTAAATAATCGTCGCTGCCTCCACAACTGTTGTAATATATCTATTATCTTTACTTTTCATCACTCCTACTGGCCACTCTACACATTATTAGATAAAAGAAACATTTCAGTGTGTTTTCCATTATCCATTTAGCGGGAGACGAACAGAGGTCGCGGAAAGGGCAGCTACAGACTTTTCCTATTGCTTGTATATAGCGTGTGTGTAAATAATCGTCGCTGCCTCCACAACTGTTGTAATATATTTATTATTTGTACTACGTATGACTCCTACTGGCCACACTTTCCATTATTAGATAAAAGAAACATCCCTGTGTGTTTTCCATTATCCATTTAGCGGGAGACGAACAGTGGTCGCGGAAAGGGACAGCTACAGACTTTTCATATTGCTTGTGTATAGAGTGTGTGTGTAAATAATCGTCGCTGCCTCCACAGCTGTTGTAATATATCTATTATCTTTACTATGTATGATTCCTACTGGCCACACTTCCCATTATTATATAAAAGAAACATCCCTGTGTGTTTTCCATTATCCATTTAGCGGGAGACGAATA